TTAGTTATTTATTTTTTTATGTGCTTTAGTTTGTTAGAAGCTGTGTTTGCATGCATGTTGATGAAGGCTGTGTTCTTTCATGTGGGGATCTTTGAATTTTATTGTGAACTTGAGGGGTGATAATTTTTGGAGTTTCGAGTTTAGAGTGAAGAGAGTGGGACCTGTGAATAGATGTGTCCAATTGAAGATCTTGTTTGCAAATGGGCAGTTTTTGAAAATGAGGTGGGTTTCTTTTGAGTTGGGTGTTGGCAAAAAAGCAAATATTGAAATTTTGTGGACTTTGTTGGGGACCTCTGTTACTTTGGGACAGAGTGTATTGGATGAGGGGCATGTGTACACCAATCTACGATGATGTCATGACGGTGCATGTGTCGTTCATACTAGAACATGAAGTGAAACAAGATTTTGGGTTTGTTCTGGGTTTGGCAAGAGGATTCACCTTGAACTAATCGGTTATTTTGCTCGTTAGTAGTGGTTTTTTTGTTGTTGGAATATCACTTGTGAGTTGTCCCACATTGATTCTATAGGGAAATTGAGCCTAGTATATAAATCCAATGAACTACTCCTCCCATCACCAATTGGTTTTGGGATGAAACTTCATTAAGGTGCATCTAGGCTCACACTCTTATGGTGCGCTTTATCTGGTGGGACGCACTCTCTTCCCCCAGTTCTAATAGTTGTCTGGGTAATTTGCGTTTTATTAGTGGTTTTATTACTCGTTTGCTTTCTTTCCAGATATCTTTACATGGGAGAGCATTGATTTCCAATGCACTTCTTTTAGTTTCACAAAGAAGTGATATTTGGGAACATGTGATTGTACAATGCTATGGAAAGTAGTTTGCATTCCTTTGATTGCAGGTGTCAAATGTCTCTTGGCATTTTAACTAACGCCCAATTATTAAGATAAATTCAATTGTCTGTTGTTTTACGATGAAGTATCTGAGTTACGTTCAGTTGTCGCTTGCCCTGTTGAAAGAAACTTGAGCAAATAATTTTGTGTAATGCTCTTTATTTATCTCCAATTCCTGATCATTGTAGCTTATCCTACTAGCATGAATTTTCTTTGAAAATCGACAAAAGATTCATAAATATCCAATTTGTTTGTTTGTTCTATTGACCTTTAGCATGTAAATATGTTCTCCATTGGCTATTTATTTAATTTATTGTTGGTCTTTATGATAACATTCGGTCTGATGCATGGAAGATGGAAGTTATGCTTAATTCATTTCTCTATTGGATATGCGTTTTTCTTTTTCCTTGAATTATTTCTAGTACATATATTGTAAATTCCCTTCTGTGATCTTGTATGTTCGTATTGGATGCAGATTCAAGTTTCTCTTTTATGCCATATAATTTGATTCTTGATATTCTGTTCGCAGGGGAGTGGGTTTCATGTTCTGTTGGTGCTAATTTTACTCCACATATAATCACTGTCAATACTGGAGAGGTAATATGGTGATAATTTTTACATTTTCACGTTAATCCTCTAGCAAGCTCTAATTAGACGATATGCTTTATATTCTTCTCTTCTTTTGCTCACACATAATTCGATGTGTGATGTCATTTTTTGTTACCTCCATTTTTCATAATTCGACGTCCAAAAGATGAATTTTGGTGTAAATGGAAAAATATTCCAGTTCTATCACATTTTGTTACTAGATGAAGTGTAGGAACTCAGAAGTTGGCAAACTAAAATATTCTGCATTGTGGGCGTTCTTTAGGACGTCACAATGAAAATTATTTCATTCTCTCAACAAGGATCCCGAGCAATATGCATTCTCTCAGCCAATGGTGTAATTTCGAGTGTCACTCTTCGTCAAGCCGATTCTTCTGGTGGCACATTGACATATGAGGTGATTCATATAAGTTATCTAATATTGATCGATATTTTACGTGTTTCGCCTACCTCAATTTTTGCCTGCTCAAATAAACCAGTTTACTTCTTTTTTTTCTTTTTTCTTTAATTGCAAGCTATATTCACCCAAGCTTGTTTCATCATTTATAACTCGAATTCTTCTTGTAAAAAGAGCTGACTTTCAGTGATGTATGTTTTTATGTGAAACGAAAATATTTACCATGAATTATTCAAAAGGGTTAATTCAGAAACCTATGAATGGTGTACTACATATGAGTACTATTATGTTGACCTTGTCTATGTTTTGGGTTGACTTATGGTAGGGTCTTCCAAATTATTCAAAAGGATCGTGTTTGATGTGCCTAGTGGCTTGTGTTTGCGTGTTTGACTTTTTAGGGTCGATTCGAGATACTGTCGTTGACCGGGTCATTTATGCCGTCCGAGACGGGAGGGATTAGAAACCGGTCGGGAGGAATGAGCGTGTCTTTGGCAAGTCCCGATGGCCGTGTTGTTGGCGGTGGGGTTGCAGGCTTGTTAGTTGCTGCCAGTCCAGTCCAGGTTATTATTATTATTATTATTATTATTATATTATTATTATTATTATTATTATTATTATTATTATTATTATTATTAGTAAATGTGTGTTTTTTTTAAGTAGATTGTGGTGGGAAGTTTTCTAGCCGGCAGCCAGCTTGAGCAGAAGACCAAAAAACACAAACCCGAGCCTGTGACCATAATATCGGCTGGCTCTATACCCTTAGTCAATAATGTCGGAATGGAAGATACATACAATACTTCCCCTTCTTTCCGTGGAGATAGCTGGTCTTCAATACCTCCCGACTCTAGGACTAAAACCACCGACATTAACGTCACCTTAGCTGAATAATTTAAAAAGTACTTGGTTTTCTGCTCGTGATTATAATTGACGGACCAGATAAGAAATTCATGGATATATCGCGTGTCAGTACGTATTTGATGAATCTTGCCCTTCTTTTGATTGCATTTTTTATTGATTGTGTAGTGATTCTAGCGTGTTAGGATCGGCTTTTTCTTTTTACTCGTCGAGCATTGTGTTGTAGGATGATTTTTTAGATGTTCATTTTAAGTACTTGGGGATTGAAATGCAATCGTCGTTTATCATATGTTTTAGTGTTGCTTTAGAGTTGTTCGAGCTATATTGTTTGTTGGACCTTGGCTCATCTTATGTATCGCTTTTCGATGTGTCATTTTGGTGATGTATTGTTTTTCGATGTGTAATTTTGGTTGGCGATCGATCATTGGTTAACGTTAAGGCACGTTTTATATATGAATAGTGTGTTGTTCTTTGCTAAGAAAGGTAAAATTTTAAGTCATATACTCATTTATCCACACTCTTG